CCTCACTCCGCCATGACAGAAATGGGCTCCCTAAAGCTCAGGGGTGACACTGCCAACCCCCGGCTCAAAGAGGACCACTGCGCTCCCCTGCCTACAGCAGTTTTTAACGCCCAACATGGTTGCCCTCCGCTCGCAGTTCCACAGCCGGTGCTTTTCATAGGGTGGGTGAAGGGACCCCGTTCACCAGAATCACCCAGGATACTTGCTAGAAGGCCAGCTTCCTGGACCACTCAATCAGAAATTCTGGGGGTGGACCCTGGGAATTTTAACTGGAGAGGAAAAAAAAAAGTCCCAGACGCACTCTGTGGAGTACACTGAAGTTAGAGAGCCATTTTGCTGGAGTTTCCCATTGTTCGGGAAAATGTGTCCTACTACCAACGGCCAGGAACATACCCCAGCCCCTTTCCACCATCCTGTGTCAGGACTAGAGGGGCGGTCTTTCTACCACTGATCCTACACTCACCTCCAAAGGCTAGGCACTCGGGGTTCCTAGAGTAACCCATTCCAATTCTTCACTGAGTGACTAAAGCGAAGTCACTCTCCATGCACAGGCCTCAGTTTCCCGTATATACAAAGGATGGGGTATATGCTGTCTAGGGTCCCTTTCAACTCCAAAATAAGGTATATGATCTTTATGTTCTATCATGTGCGTTCCTCTGTATCAGAGATTTTAGTTCTAAAACTCTAAGAACTTGCATTTGAGGTGGGGGGTCGGGGGGTGGGGGTATCCTTTCCTCACCTAAAGTGAAACAGGGCGCCCGGGTGGCTCAGTCTGTTAAGGCTCTGCCTTCCGCTGAGGTCACGATGTCAGGTCCTGGGATTGGCCCCACATCTGGCTCCCTGCTCATCGAGGAGTCTGCATCTCCCTCTGCCCGCCTCCCCCACGTCTGCTCTCTTTCTCTCAAATAAATAAGATCTTAAAAAAAATTAAAGTGAAACTTTCAAAAAGCATCTCTCATACCCCATACAACTTCCGATTTCCACAAAAAGAGATGTTTGGCCTTCCTGCCACAGCTTTTTTTTTTTTTTTTTTTTAGTTTTTAACGTCCATTACTAGACACGCTTCCAAACCCTTTCCGTAGGCCAGAGAGGAGGTGTGAGAGGTGGGTACGATTACAACCTACCAGCAACCCTTCAGTGGCCTGCCGTGTACTGAAACTTTGTAGACTGTTGGTCACATAATCCTCCCAACAAATGCTCCCATTTGAAAGACCAGAAGATCGATGCCCAGAGAGCCTGAGCTGCCCAAGGCTGCACAGCCAGCCTGCAAGACTCAAGCACGGCCCTTCTGAAGCTCTCCCTGCTTGCACGGGAGCACAGTGAGTCAATGCTGAATTCCAGATCCAGGGAAAGCGACTGCGCCAATGGCACTACTCCAGGCCCACAGGCCGTGCCCTCCAAGGCATGGCGGGAGTGCTACCCAGCCAGTCACACACACACACCCTCACAGCTTTCTGCACCGAGCTGTTGGAAGACTGTGCATGCAGGGGAGGGGGAGACGGGGCTGAGCAACAGCCACACGAGCAAAAGCGATGCCAGGGATTTAGTCAACAGAGAGCTAATATGAGTCAACACTGGGTGCCACTGCCAAGCACACTAATGGGATCTTCAGCGGCATTAATAGAAGGAAAGTGTCTCCGGTAGGCCGAGTGAGTCCCGCCCTGCCCGGACCAGAGCACACCTGAGGGCTGGGCAGGGCCAGGCTGCTCTAAGGAGAGCGAGGCAGCACCTTCCAAAGCAAGGCCAGGTTTTCTGACAAGGAGCAGCTCCCCATGCCTCTCCAGTCTGTAGGGTGAGCCAGGGATTCCCCTGGAAGCCGGGTTTGTACAGCAAGTCCATTTTAGACTGCATGTTATAGAGGGATTTTTTAAAAGACCCTCTGTTCCCATTCTATCAAAGGTTGAGGAACCACGGCAAAGGTTACAAACAGGCAGGCATGCTAGGGGATGCAGCCCACCAGCAGACAACGGGGCTCCAGGCCCTGTCAGAGGATTGCCGAAGACCATTACAGGTGCTTCGTCCTTTATTATGTATATAAAACCACGGGCCATGGCTTAGCCCAGGAGTGGACTTGACACAGTAAGTATTCTAAAAATGCACAAGGAACACGGATTTGAGATCCTACCACCTCAAGTGTCAGAGTCTCCAGGAAGCACCCAGAACCCGCCCATCCACCGGCACCCTGTCTGGGTGAGCCCCCCCTCACATCACTTAGCACTGCTTAGAATAAAACGCCGTGTTTCTACCTGTGTTTCCCAGGAGCCTCCGGGCCACCTCTCGTCCACCTTTGCATGCACAGCACGGTGCGTGGCACACTCGAGACGCCCGATAAATGCTGACCGCAGACAGAGGCGCCCCGGCATGGTCACACCGCAGGTGTTGCTGTGGCCTAGTCCATTTCTGACCCTGTGATCTGAAACCAGATCCGGGCTAATCAAATGGCTTAGGGCAATGCATCACCACCGGGAGGATGCAGAGCAGAGGAATTCTTGAAGCTAACACCACCAGAGGGTTTTAATTACAAAGGAGCCATAGTTAGCCTGGCAAGTGCACGGGGTGCCTGTGCAAGTGACAGGGGACAGAAAATCCAGCTTAGGGGTATGGCAGCCAAAGGTAAATCCTATCTGTGTGGCAGGCAGCAATGCAACACCAGAGCCCAGGAAGTGGTAAAAATCCAGGAAAGCAGAAGAGGAGAACCCAGACAAGTGCGGCTAACTGCCCAATGGGATAGCATAAAAAGTGAGCCGGGGGAAAGGCGCCTTGGGAAGGAGCGTGCGTGCTACAAATTCATCTACAAATTCACTGGGAGCTGGCCGCCTGGCGCTAACCTCGTACTCAGAGAATTACAGGAACTAAAACTGATCTGGGAAGACTAGCACAGGAGACTGTGTGACGCAGCTCTGATAGCTAATAAATCTTTAAATCGATGAGCCGTGCTCACTGGTGATTTTTCTCGATCATTCCTCCCTGAGGGCTCACATGACAAAAGCCTGCATTTTGTCTTTGGACAGGGTGGATATACATATGCGTGTGTCTGTATAAATAAAATTTGGGGTTCGTTCTATCACATCGTAAAGCATCAAGAAATCTGCCATCATTAAGAAAACCCGGGGGGAAAAGAAAACACCCAGGGAAATCTTTTGTCAAGCAACCTTTTGTATCGAGGAGAAACCTTTCCCGATGTAAAATATCCCCCTCCCCCACACTCGGTGAGGGCTCCACCAGCCAGCAGAAGTCAGCATTCCAGCCCCATCCCAACCCGTCCGTTGGTATACCTGTCTGGGTTTATCCACCACGCATGCACTTGACTCAGTTTGCGTTTTTCATCTGAGAAACACCACTTAAGCCTGTCGCACAAACCTGACAGAAGCAACACATTTTATAAACGAATCATCCCTGGGGAACAGACAAGAAAATCCTCAAAGAGCACCATCAAAGTTCTCAGGGAGAGCATTCCTCTCCCTGATCCGAGATGCAAAATACGCCACATCCTCTCCACACACCAGCTGCCCACCTCTCCAATCCTCCTGGCTCTTGGGGCCTCCCCTCCCAGCTGAAGAGGAGCTGGAGAGCCTCAGTGGTGGGGAGGAGTAACATTTTAATGCTATTTTAAAGACAACAGATCTAAGCACAGGAACGTTGGCTCCTTTTCCGTGAATAGAAAGGCCCCAAAAGGGTATTATCATAACAAAATGATACTCTATGGAGAGCACTAGGAGGCACAAAAATAAAACTGCCATAAATTGAAACTGTCAAAATTAAACCTAAGGCAGCATTAAAGTCCAGGCCAAGCAGGCTCTGATTCTCCCATTTAAAAGCCTTACAGGTTCCTAGTTCCCTCACCAAGTCTAAAGAATTTCCCCCACCCGGGAAGGCCTACACGTTTCCTTTGGAAGTCTAGGTATGTTCTTTTTTTTTTTTTCGCGTGAAACCCTCGTACTGATCTGTGACATTCGTCTAAAAGCTTGATCGGCGCTCTGTCCTCAGTCACACCCAAAGATTCCCAAAGGCACCGTCTGCCGCAGCGCCGGGTGCCCAGTAGGCGCCCATTAATGTGCGGATTTGATTTGATCACATCTGGCCCCTTCGGGCTAGAAAGCTGGACGCCCTGGCGGGGACAACAGCGCCAGCCTAGCTCACTGCTGGGGGGGGGGCGGGGTGCAACCACCTGTGGGCGGGTGGCCCCGCAGCCGGCGCCGCCGCCCGGAGGTCCCTTGGCCGCCGCATGCACGTTGCCCCGGGTTGGGGGCGGGGGGGGCGGGGGGAGTCCGGCGCACTAGGCCCAGTGGGCGCCCCAGGGCCGACTCCCAGCGCCCCAGCAAAGGTCTCTGCCGGTGCAAAGTTGGCCAGGTCCAAGAGTTAGCTCCCAAGTCACCCAAACCCTTGGGAGGCTGAGGGCTGTAGGGGTTCCTTGGGATGAGAATGGGGCGGGGGCAGGCATCGAGGAGGTCGGGAGAGAAATGGTCCCCAGATTCCCTCCCAAACTTGGGGCACCTGCTGGGCAGCAGGGCAGGGGGCTTCTCCTCCCCGCCATCTCGACAAGGCCTGGTGGCGACTTTGTGGGGGCAAGCAAGCCACCCTGGGGGCAGCCCCGCATTGCTCTGAGATTTTCTAACCAATAACCCAACATCAAGAAGGCCCCCGCTGGAACCTGGGGGGCGGAAGGGGAACACCGGTCACTCGCGCCAGGGGGCGGGGACTCGGGAAGAGGGGACTGGGTGAGCAGGGGAGGGAGTAAGGCCCGAAGGACGAGGTGGGAGCCGGAGAAGGCGCGACGCAGCAGCGCAATGTCCCAAGAAGGGGGGCACGGGGCCACTTGAAAGGGTTCCAGAAGAGACCGGGACGGAGTGGCCCGAGAGGGAACCAGGGATAGGGAGTGCTCGCAGGAGAAGGAAGAAGGGATCCCCGAAGAGGTACAAAAGGGGCGCCCAGAGAGGAACACTGGGGGAGAGGAGCTGTCCCAAGGGGTGCCAGTGCCACGGACCGGCCCCGTCACTCACCGGCAGGTCCACGCTCACTTCGGTCCCGTCGAGCAGGAAGACGCGGCAGGACAGGGTGGCCTTGGCAGCGCCGGCGGCGGAGATGTGCACGGCCGCGCCGCCCGTGAGCAGGGGCCCGCCGCCGGCCGGGAACACGCTGCCCCCCGGCGCGGCGGGCAGCGTCGAGGAGGCGGCGGCGGCGGCGGCCGGGCCCCCCCGCGGCCCCCCGTCACGCTCGTCCCCCAGCCCGGCGGCCCCGCGCCCCGCCGCGCCCCGCGCGTAGCGCTGCATGGAGCGGCGGCCAAAGGTCCGGCGCAGGAACCGCAGCATCCTGGCTGGGGGCGCCCCCTGCCTCCGCCCCCTGCGCCGCCGCCGCCGCCGCCGCTGCGCCTCCGCCCGGGAGCGCCCCGCGACGCCGTCAGTGCCCGCGGCCGCCTGCGCCGCCTCCCAACGCCTGCGGCCCGGGGCTCGCTCCCGCCGAGGCCGAGGCCGCGCTCCGGCTGCCTGCGGGGCGCGCCGGCCCGGCCAGCGCCGGCCGCGAGCGGCCGCAGGCGGAAAGGCGCGCTCGGGGCGGCCCCAGGGCCGTCCCGCCGCCGCCGCCGCCGCCGCCGCCGCGCGCTCTCCCGGGCGGGCGGCCTGAGCTTGCCGCTGAGGGGCCGCTCCCGACGGCCGGCCGCGAGCGGCCCCGGAGCTGCGGGGGGGGCGCGGGCTGCGGGCTGCTCCCGCGCCGCGCGCCGGCCGAGGGCCAGCCGAGCAGGGCGCCTGCGTGTTCCCGGCGCGCTCGCTCCCACTCGCCGCGCCGCGCCGCGCCGGGGGCCGGAGGAGGCCCCGCCGAGCGCCGGCTCCCGAGGCGCCTTTTCCTGCGCCCGCAGCCCCCGCCTCCCACCTGGGAGGCTGCACCTCCAGCCGCCGCCACCGCCGCCGGGACTGCAGCACGCCCTCCTCCCTCGGGGCTGCGCCGGGTAATTGCAAACCGGGGCTGTGCTGCCCCCTGCCGGCCCGAGCGCCCCCTGCTGCTGTAGGTGTGCTCACGTGTGTACACGTAGGTGAGCACACACGTGTTTCCGGCGCCCCGAGCCCCGAGCCCTGCAGCCGCCCCAGAGTCTCCCCCTGCCTAGTGACGAAAGCGGGGCTGCCAGCCCTGCGGGAAGCCTTGTCCCGGAGGCCAGAGAGGGAGGGAGAGAATAGCGTTCAGTGAAGGCCCTAATGGGCCCTCAGTTTCCCCTTTTGGAAAAGGAGAGAGGACCACTAGATGATCAACAACGTCCCTGATAAATTAAGTTCTGTCCGTTTAAGATCTCAGAGCTGGAAGGGCTCTTTTAGCCATTCCAGTCCAATGGACTCGTTCCAAACAAAGAAATTGAGATCGGGCAAGGAGGGGGGAGTACTTTTCCAACCTACTCTGCAGGGGGAAAAAAATAAATAAATAACACCTTTCCTCAAGAAGCTTGTGTCCAGTATTGAGGCAGAGGGCTGCACAAATAACTAGCTGTAACTGGGAAGTCTGGTAAAGGTCGGAGGCAAAGAGAAGTGCTTATAAACAATGCCCCTCAGGTATAGGAGTTCAAGCCCTGCTTCAGGGAGAAGTGGGTCGTCCAGTGTTGCTGGAAGGAATGACTGTTGGGGAAGACCAGGTTGAAAGGAGGGCAAGCCTCTCCAGAACAATAACACTGCTGTGTGTGTGTGTGTGTGTGTGTGTGTGTGCCTGACACTGTGCTCAGTAAGCCCTTTGCATTCATCATCCCACTTAATCCTCTGAATAACCTGGTTCTACAGCTGGTCTTAGCCCCATTGTACAGAGGAGGGAATTGAAGCTTAGAGCGCTTAAGAGACTTGCTCCAGATTTCACGGTTAACAGGGGCTCATTTGCAGGGCTTCAGAGCTCCTAACCACGGCCAGGCGGAGGCATGTGGCAGGACTGGCAAAGAATGAGGGTTCCTGAGAGGCCTGGAAGGAGGCAGTGGCCACAGCAAAAGGGACAGAGAAAGAGGGAGGGATGAATTCAGGCGGCATTCCAGAAGTAGACATTGATTGAAGATCAGGTGCTGTCTTAGGTGATTTCATGGATATTTTCATTAATCCTCGCTCCAACCCTTCCAGGTAATTCTGTTTATCCAGGTTGACTAGGTGGAGTTTGGGGCTTAGAGGAGTAATATCCTTGCTTGAGGGCTCAGAGCTCTTGGCCGGCAGCTGCCAGGGCCTTGACTTGTTGAGTAGTGTTCTCTGTACACTCTCCAGGGCTCTACCACGTGACACTGTCCTGTGAGGGGGCATCTGCAATCAGCCTTCAGATACCCACTCTGCTCCCCTTCCCCCAAGACTCCACTTAATAGAATACCATCAGCAAGTTGCTGTTCAGAGGTAGCCCAGTCAGCTTACTGGTTTCTAAGGACAGCTCATTTCCTACTGGATAGCCCAGAAGTACTATAGTCGTACAAAGATGTCCACATCCAGAGCCCCTTTGCAGATATGATTAAATTAAGGAGTTTGAGGTGGGGAGATGATCCTGGATGATCTGGGTAGGCCCAATCTAATCCCAAGGGTCCTTATAAAAGGGAGGCAGGAGGGTCCGAGTCAGAGAGAGTGATGTGACATTGGCAGCAGAAGTCAAAGTGAGGGGTCCAGGGGCCAAGGAATGCACGCAGCTGCTAGAAGCTGGAAAAGGTAAGGACCAGATAATCTCCTAGATATTCCCGAAGGAATGCAGCCTTTGAATTTAGCTTATAAAAACCCATCTCAAACTCTGACTTCCTGAGTTGTACAATAGTATATTTGTATTGTTTCAAGCCACTAAGTTTGTGATCGTTTATTTCAGCAGTGATAGGAAACGAATACAAAGGCACTATGCAATCCTATCAGTTTGGTGCATTACAGTTTTCAAAACCACCCCTCCATAGGGAGCATCATTCAGTTTGTGATTATTCGCTGTCATTGTCTCCTGCTAGACACCAATCTCTGGAAGGACAGGGCTTTTTCTTATTCATCATTGTGTTCCCGCTTAGCACTTAGATTGCTGTCTGGTAAGTAGTCGGTGCTCAAAAAAACAAAGCAAACAAACAAACAAAACCCCACTTGCTGAATGAATTCAGGATCTCATTTCTTTTTTTTTTTAAGATTTTATTTATTTATTTGAGAGAGAATGAGATAGAGAGAGAGAGAGCATGAGAGGGGGGAGGGTCAGAGGGAGAAGCAGACTCCCTGCTGAGCAGGGAGCCCGATGTGGGACTCGATCCCGGGACTCCAGGATCATGACCTGAGCCGAAGGCAGTCGCTTAACCAACTGAGCCACCCAGGCGCCCCTCAGGATCTAATTTCATTGTCCTGTGGCCCTATGGGGTAGGAATTGCTCTTGCCTTTTAGAGACGGGGAAGATGAACGCTAGACTACAGCCTGAGCTCACACTCCTGTCTCCTGACTGCAGATCCCATGTGCTAACCTGCTACCGACAGCACTGCATCATCGAGAATCCCATGGGGCTACCACATGGCTTTAGGGTTACCTCCATCTCCTCTGTATCCGGTGCTGTCACCTACTGGATCTCATTCAGTCCTCATCATTAGAGTGGTTCAAGCACTCTTTTCTCTACCACACAGAGCAGAAACAGAGGCTCAGGCCTTCTTTTAATTAAATTTCATGTCACTCAAGTTTCAACCTGAGAATTTCAACATTTGATGAGCCAGTTTGCATAGTTTGCGTTTTGTCTGCTCACAGTGCTATGTGTTTCAAAATAGTGATTGCCCTTTCTTCATCTTTGCCTTTTGGACCGAGAAGTCCTGTTATCTGAGGTCTATAACCAGCCCTTCAAAAATGTTATTTGCCATTTCTCAGCCCTCCTCTGTGCTCAGCGTGAACAGGCCAGAACTGCACATGTATCCTGTTTGCCAATGTATCACTCTTTGAGGAGCCTTTCTGTCCTCAGACCGTCATGCAGAAGTCCCAGTGTTTTCCCTTGCATTTCTGTCTAGAACCATCTCGAGCTGAAGTTCCCAAGAAACAGTCTACGCTAAATGCCAGGTCCTTTTCTTGGTCACCACAGTAGCTTGACTTCCTCAGTTTCCTGGGCAGTATTTGGAGCTTGGTCCCTAGAGTCACCTCCTTGCCTTGTCCTCATTAAAGCTCAGCTCCCACTTCTTCACCCACCTTCTCAGATCCACAAGAACTCCCCACAGTCCTTGCCATCACCACGCCAGGTACTCCATGCCATCTGCAAACCTTGGAGAGTTCCTCATGCGCTCCCCTCCTCCGGAGTAGTTTTACGTGTTAATTAAACAGCGCTGCGCCCCGTCTCTAAGGAACTCCTTTCACAAATGTGCCATTTATCCCTATCCTTTGTTTCCTGGCTCCTTTCCTAAGCTCAATAAAATTGTGCCTTCATTCCGTCAGACTCCTTTCTTCATAGAACAAGATTACACTTCAGTATATGTTCTTTTTTTTTTTTTTAAAGATTTTATTTATTTTTTTGAGAGAGTGAGAATGAGAGACAGAGAGATAGAGAGCACGAGAGGGAAGAGGGTCAGAGGGAGAAGCAGACTCCCCGCTGAGCGGGGAGCCCGATGTGGGACGCGATCCGGGGACTCCAGGATCATGACCTGAGCCGAAGGCAGTCGCTTAACCAACTGAGCCACCCAGGCGCCCCTTCAGTATATGTTCTTATTGGCTCTCTTGTAAAGTTTCCCCTCCATAGGCATTTACTGAGACCTTACTATGTACCACAAAGCCTTCCCTACCCTTTCTAGTGTTTGATAAATGTCTGCTTCATCTTTCTGGTATCGTTCCACAATGACAGCTAGCATTAATTACAGACTGTGTAGTGGGCAGCCGCTGTGGTTTCTACCAGCCTCCGCTTGGCTTGTTTGGGTTACCTTGCAAACTACCTGCACTCAGAGGCCTGGTGGTCTAGGTAAAACTGACCCCATCCCTTTCCTCAGGTTTGGTGCCTAATCAGGCCTGGCTAATCAGAGCACCACGATTCCCAGAGACCTGTTACTGGCTCAAGAATAGGCAGTAACCCAAGTCAGGCCAATGGAGGTCAGTCCAGGACCTCTTGTTGAGATTATTGGGAACCAGCAGTGTTATGCCTGGACCTGCTTGCTGTGGGCCCACCTTGACACCACAAGGGGAAAGCCTGACGATGATAACAATGCAAGGAGAAGCAGAGCCAAGAGATGGAGAGACATCAATTTCTTTTTCTTTTTTTTTTAAGATTTTATTTATTTATTTGACAGAGAGAAAGCACAAGTAGGCAGAGAGGCAGGTAGAGGGAGAGGGAGAAGCAGACTGCCCACTGAGCAGGGAGCCCGACATGGGACTTGATCCCAGGACCCTGGGATCACGACCTGAGCCGAAGGCAGCTGCTTAACCGACTGAGCCACTCAGGCGTCCCATGAGAGACATCAATTTCTGATGTCTATTTGATTTTTGACTACCTGGATCCAGCCATGCCTGAATCTACCCCCTGGAATTTACAATTTAAGGAGTGACTCAGATTAGACTGATGATTTTCCAGGTCCCAGATCTTTCCTCTGCTTCATTTGCCCTCTTTCCAATGCATAAGCATTGTTTTTGAATAGACACTCACTTTATTCATTCTTTAAAGGACTCATCTTCAAGTAAATGACTAGCAAGGCAATACT